ATTCTCGGAATTCTCTTTGGGATTCTTTAGCCGGCGGCGGAGGAATGCCTCGGCGGCCCCTCGCGCGGAAGGACAAATTCGATTGTCGCACGTAGACCCGGCGGGGTATAAAAGGGGGTCGACGCGGCGCTTTTTCTCAGATCGGCGCTTTTGTTGGGAGGCGTCGGGGTGGCCGAGGGAGAGAGCAAGTCGGGGCTTAATTCGGGCCAATAAACGTGGCGAATAAACGTGGCGGTGACGAAGAGCAGAAACGCAACACATTCGGCGCAATGGAATAAACGCTAATTAAAGCTGACAACCGCTTTTCAGTGCGCCGTCCTCCGAAACAAGCGATGAACGTCTGAATGCAGGACGTGTATTGGTCGCAACCATCATGATCACGAACTATGCCTTATTATGGGCTGGGATCGTTCAGCTGAGAGATTGTAAATTCACAATTTAGAGGAAGACGATCTGTAGGATAATCACTTTAATTTTTGGGGCTAGGAAATAACTCATCCAAATTTGAATTGCTTACCGAAAACTAAACCTTCAGGCTATTTGCAAGGTCCCTTACTCGTAACCCTTTTTTATAAATATAATGGGATGCTGGTACACCTTCCGAGACTTTGCACTGTAACCCCAAGCTAGAGCTGACTATCTTTAAATATTTTATTGGTTTCTATTTTATTCTCACTATTGATTTGTGGCAACCGCTTGTCCTAGAACGGTTTAATTTCTATACCTCTTCTGTCCGCTTCTTTTTTTAAGAGCAGATGATATTCTTAAAATGCCTACTTATATGCCATTAAGATTTCAAAAACTTCCCCCATATGCACAGTTGAACAAGCAAATGACTGGATTCAGACAAGCTAAGCTACAAACTTGGTTTCTGAATAGCAAAGGTGGCTTGCAGACAAAGCCAAAATTACATCATGCACGTGGCCCAACCGTTAACCCTGTCAGTATTTGCAAGCAGCCTGCAAGCAAACCTGGGTATTTTCTGCGAGCATTCTCACGTTATATAGATCCAGCTTCCCTACACCAAGAGCTGATCGGTTAGCAGGGAGCATCTGCTTTCCAAGTCATGAGCAACTAAGCCGATCTTGAGCAAGGACGCTATTTTTTGGCACGTAGTATCGATTCAGAGAAACGTATTTTCGTCTAAGAGACGAAAGGTTGAGCCTGACTCATTAGAACCGTGTGCTACTCACTTTAGCCCATGTTTATCTATAACAAGCCATGGCTCTTGGTTTACTGCACGTAGGTAGGTAACATTATTTGCGTCCAGTGGCTTTTCCCTTTGAATATGCAGACCAAACCCACGATAGGCTTCTCTCATCTAAAAATTAAGAATCCAAAACGAAGTATTTCCAGTGCTGATTAAACAGCCCATCTGTTGCGCAGCACGCCCAAAATACATAAAGGAACCACAGGGAAAAGATGCTTGTGAATGTGTATCACCATTTATTGTTGTTCAAGAATCAGGAACTGAACAGAGGAAACTGTCAGCAGAAAAGAAAGAAAAGAAAACGTTTTCTTTTCAGGCTTAATTTTTTTTTTTTTTTTTTTTAAAACACTGTGGTTTCAAATCCTTTTCAAAAAGGACGTTCAAGTATCTTTAAGCAGGGGGCAGTCATACAAAAATGTTTCATCTTTTTTATATAGTTTCTTTTTTTAAAAAAAGCGAGTCTACATTTTTCTGCACCCTTTTTGCTTTGGTAAGGCCAAGCCATGGATATAAAACTGGTACACAACATAAAAATGGATCCGTCCTGCTTTGACTTGGAGGCGCCGAGAATAAAACGATCTGCTCTCCACCCCCCCCAACCCTCAGAGACGCACTTTTAAAAGACAGAGAATCATCACCATTTAGCTTACTAGGTCTCTGGCTTTAAAAGATTTTTTTAAATCTCTCTCTATATATCTTTTAAGTCAGTGAAACCCTCGTATTCCACTCTGATTCCTTTGTGGCAGCTGCTTCAATCTATAATACAAGGCCCTGAAGAAAAAACAATTTAAAAATAACAACGAAGGGCATGTAGTCTCTCCCCAAAACCTAAAGGGATATGCCAACCACTTAAAATTTCAACGTGCCGACAAAGGGGGAGGAAGAATGAAATTTGCTATCGTGAATTCTTCTTCTTGTGTGTGGCCTACCAAATAAAAAATGATTTCTAATAGAAAAATATGATCCCCCCCCCGATTAATACTTCTCGCAGGCACATTTGCTTTTTCAAGATTATGTTCTCTTGGGGTCAGAGAAGAATGTTTTTCATATACAGGGAACGTTTTTCTTCACATTACGGAACCCCCCAAAAAAAAAACGAGGCGGCAGGATCGTGCAGGCAGAGGTGATGAGAAAGAAATGAAAGGGTCTGGGGATAACCATAGCAGCAAAATGTTCAAAGTTTCAACCACTATCAAATTAACGGAGATCTGGCAATATATTTAAAAAAAAAAAAAAACGTACACACACACACACACACGCGCTGCTGCCCCGATCCGCGTCTTTTGCTAAAACGAATTCAGCCGTGCGAACCCCGACTATGAAACGGAGGAGTTCGTTTCGGAACAAGCGCGACCTCCGAACTGATTCCCCCACAATGCTATTGACTGCCGATTTATCGCTTAAACGTATGTACAAGAGTTAAGCTGCTTTTTGTGGTGATGCCTTCCCCTTCGCTCCGTCCACGAGGTTCCGTGTCATTCGTGGCAGCAGGCACCGTGTGAGCTCCGGCTTGGCCTCAGCTTCCAGCGATGTGGCATTCCCCTCGCCTCGATCCGCCGTCCTGCTCTTCCCAGTTGACCTCGGCGTGTGCTGCCAGGGGTGACACCTCAATGGTCAGGGTGTTGCTTGTCCCTCATCCAGGTCTGGATTTGCTCTTTCAGCTCAGGCACTGAAAAGGAAGGGGCGAGATCGATGGGGTTTCTTGGGAACAAGCCGCGCAACCCAAATACCGAAGCCCTCTCCAAGGCTGGACGAAGAAGACACGGCTGGGTGAAGAAGAGGAATCCTTAACGCCACTCCCCTGCGCGCTGATGATGTTACCTAGCTTGTTAATGAAATGTCTCCGGGAGGAGAACCAAGCTCAGAGAACCCCAAGAACCCTGAAAGATTAGAGATTTCAAATTGCTGTATGAACTCCCTTGCTCTGGCTTTTGGACCCGCAAGGGAAAACCCAACTCTCTCCCAGGTACCTGGTTCCAGCATATTTTCCGTTAGTGTCTGGCGATTGAAGGGATCCGTGGAAGAGTTGAGAAGGTGCCGCAGAATGACAGATCGATCCATGATGGTTCCCGATGGCAACCGGACGGGGTCGGTCATTAGGGTGTCCATGAGTGGATCTGAAGGAACAGAATGAACTTGTCAATTAAGTTTTAAAGGTAGAAGCGCTGGCTGCTCCCTGTCACGGAATGGGAGACTCAACAAATACACCATGTCGCACCTACACAGAATTTAAATGACTGGTAAAAACCAAACCACCTTCTTTTACTCTTTGGAAATTAAACAGCTACATCCTGACAAGGATTTCACTTACCTCTGAACTCATCAGGAGCATCGCTGTAGTCAATTTCGGCTCGGGCATTCTTGGCAACGATTTCATCCACTTTCTCTGCAAGCAGCTTGAATTTTTCTATTGCTATGGTCGATTTGATGCCAGCTTTCCTCATCTTTGAAATCACCTCCTCGAACAGCTCCTTGCTGTAGGACCGCTGCGAAAGCAAGAAGGCACAACAAAGATTGTGAAAGCCAGCAAAAAATGAACACCAACGAGCAGTCAGAAGACCGATGAAAACGCCTTCATCTCACAACGCACGGACAGACACAACCATAGTTTCAACTGGGAAACTGTGGGCTTCCTAGACCAAGCTAAATCCAAAAACACCAGGGAATTCCTGGAAGCTTGGCATTCAGACAAATCAGCCGTCAACAGACACATAGAGATAAGCCACATTTACACCCCATTCAAAAGAGACAATAAAAAAAGCTAAGAAGGAAACAAAAAGACCAGAACAACTCCTCTCCAGGAGCCAACACCCAGGTAAGCAGGGATTAACCCCAGGCAAACAATCAAGCAGAAAACAATACCTTAATCAAAGAACTACCAAGGAGAAAACCACCCCCCCACCAACTCTGGCAGGGCAAGCTACGGTATATAAACAGGGAGAAAACCCCACACTTGCTCCTACTGATGATGTTACCTAGTTGGGTGATGAAACGTTTGCAAGCAAACAACCAAACTCAGCACCGACGACTCCACAGTTCAACCCTGAGCTACATATATTCTCTATTGCTACCAAAACAAAGCGGATTTCTAGGACTTCTGCAGGCCCCCAAAGGAGGGAAGAAGAAAGTTGGTGTCCATGGTTTTTTTCCTGCATTAGGCTCTTCTCAGCATAGAATCGATTCCAGCACGTCTGGGGAATGCTACTGTAATCAGTGTGACAAACATGGCTGTTATCTGCTGGACAGGGAGAAGTGTGTCATATATGTATCTCTGTGTGTGTGCGTGTGTGTGTGTTCCCTGCCAATTCCTATTTTGTGATTCTAGGTTGCTCACAATATCTAGAACACGATTTGAAACCCAGAGAAAGATTTAGAACCCTCAGAACCAGCAGCACGGAAAAAAAGAGTAATCTATCAGATACTTTTTCAGGAGCAGACCAGTGCTGGAATAGGTGCACCTCTTGAAACTCCTATCTGTATCTTAGGTTCCATCTTGGGGTCTAGCTTTCTACCACAAGTTTGAACTCTTGCCCATACTGTACACTGTCTGCCTTCAGTACACTGTTCTGCACAGGCGTCTTGCCACACCGAAGTAAACCATTTCATACAACTTATTGTTATTCGTTCTTGTTTAATTTGCTGTACGAAGAGGATGCGCTGGCGAAGGTCACTTGTTCACCCATCACCCAACCACTCCGGTTTCTGACAATCCAGGGTAGACCTAAAGGCCAGAAGCGTGTTATTTTCAACGGGAATTGCACGCTTGAGCTTTGCCAGCAGTTCAGCACGCCGTGCGGAGATCTCTCCAGCTGCCCGCTCAAAGCACCAGCTAAAGGAGGTTTATTGGTAATAGAAATACCAGCCGGGAGGCATTCAGGTAGAAAGAATGCCTCCCCTCCAGAAAACACCGCCAGTCTGAGCAACTCCAGCTTTCCTATAACGAGTTATCTCCTGCAGAATGCCCTTCTGTAGACGAGCAATGACAAGAGTGGACACCGCTGGCGGGCAATCAAAACCCTCTTCTCTCTTCTCATTATGTCAGTTTTCCAAACTCCTGCAGCGAGCGTCAGAGGAGAAGGAAGCCAACACCTGCTGGGAGCTTGCCAGTTTAATGCAGCACTGCTGTAGAAAGCCCACACCGGTTGTAAGGCACCCAGCTCCCCAGAGCGAATCCACCAGAGCCACCAGGAGGAAGGCAAACTCACATCCCTGGCCAGCTTTGAGGACGCTGCGGCCAAAACCTCACTCAACCCAGCCACGCTCACGGCTTAGGGAACCGAGGGGATTCGACCTTCAGCTCCTTTACTCTCATAGTCCCGGCAGGCAGAAGGAAGAAATCCATCTGAACTGGCAGGGATCAGGGTGAAGTGACTTGCACTGGGATTGCTCTCTGCTCCATCACATCTGCTGGCTTCAGGAAGCGATCCAGATTTATCTGCAGTACAGTGAATCGACTCCTGAATCGAAGCCACGCAGCAGGAGGAAGTGAAAAATGAGCATGTTTTTTGAGATTCCTCATTACCGTCGGATTTCTTCCCCGCCTTTCAAACTGCCCTTCTTCAAAAGATATGCAATTATCACAAGCTAAGTATGGCAAAGGGCCATTTCCCCCCCCAAGGAATTTCTTCCTTGCCCTGGTCAAGTAAAAAAAAACAAAAAAACAGAGACTTGGGGGGGTTGGTATTCATTCACAAATGGCCCCCAAAGGGTCACGAAGGACCAGCTGGAGCAATAGATTAGTTAGAAAGCATTTAGGACAGAAAGCAGACATTCGGAACATGCATAGTCCAAAACTATTGTAATGTTACAGACAGAGTAACGTGGTGGTGGGGAGGAATTGGGAGAAAAAGTTAAGAACTTGCTTTTCCTAAAACCTCAAAGAAGAAAACTGCTTCAGGCCGGCAAATGGGAACAGGTATCATTTTTCCACGTGGGCCAACTTAGCTATCTCCAAACTATTCTTCCCCAATGCTCTCTGCTCAAACTCTTTTCCTTGAAGAACAGATGGTGCTACCCTCAGCTTAGCAAAGGAATGAGTCCCCGCCTTCTTGCAGCTGGAAAAGGTATTTGGCGACCAAAATTGGGACCGGCGATTCGGTCGTTAAGCGAAGCGATTGCCAAGTGAAACCGCCAAGATGCTTACAATCTTCCTTCAGCTTTCCTTTGCTTTACAGACCTCCAAAGGTCATACACACAAGGATTGGTCATGAAGTTACTTTTTCATCACCACTGTAACTGTGAACGGTTATTAAACGAGGACTACCTGTATTATGGGAACCTCCTGAGTTTCTGCTAAGGGTTTCATGAATCCTGCCCACTCTCGAAGTTTAAAGCTACAGACAAGGACAGCAGCGATAGTTCTGCCTGGATACCAAAAGCATCTCGTCGCATTGGGGATGTGATGGGAGCTTCGGGTCTCCCATCACATTCCTTCTCAGCTACAGAGTTGGGCCCACCACTCACCTGGTCGTCCGCTATTGCTTTCGCAAACCGAGCACAGTCTAGCTGCAAGTAAATGTCCGTCAGTTGGTCCAAAAGCTTCTTTGGTTCAAAGCCATACTTCTCGGGGTTTTCTACTTTTAGATCACGGCACTTAGGGCCACACAACTGCTGAAGGTTGAAGTTCAGCATAGCAGCCAGCCGTGGTCCAAGCTCCTGCAACAGGAAATCACAGAGCGCACATTTGGAAGAGAAACATCAGCACGACAGGCCAGGAGCAAGCAACACAAACCCTCTCCTTGTTCGGCCACGGATTTTTGCCCACCGAGCCCTACCATGTTCTAGATCAGAGGGCCACCACCAGAGACTCCCAGGGCTGCGCAAAGCCTGAAAGCCTCCAGTATCTACTAACGTTGTGACCAACTTGCCACGTTGAATGGGACTGAGTATTAAATTCCAAAATGAAAGTCAGTATTAACTTTGCCTCATTTTAACAATGTTCAAATGAACATGAAGTTAAATCAAGTTTAGCCCTTGTCCTCCAAGGAGCACCACTCTCGGATCTGAGATCGCCACACCCCTCCTCCTAGGCCCAAAGTTTCCCGTGTCCCACCAGGGCCCACTCAAAACCAGGCGAGCCTCTGCCTGAGTTCAGGTTCTCCTCCTTCACCAGGAACTGCCACAGATCAGCAGTTCTGCCAGTGTCAAAATGCTTGGGCTTGGAGTCCAGGAGGGCTGGGTCTCAAAACCCACCACAATGACGCCGTAGCAGATTGTCTCATACTCACAGGCCTGAGGAAAGGCTTCTGAACTTGTTTGGTGAGGATATGAAACATGTCGACTGTTTCGGTGGCCAGAGCCAGATAGGAGCGCGAGACCCGCTCGTCCTGTGCCAGCTGGGACTGCCGACCCTGCTGCTGATCCTAGGGAGGAAAGAGCCACCGATAGAGGGAAAAAGGCCCCCGGGCTTCAACCCAGTTCCTACTACACTTTCTCTGGCTCTTCTCTCCCATGTCCATCAAAAGCACGAGAGTTTGTATAAATGACTTCATTTGCAGAACAAATCTCCAATATTTCATGGCACTTGGGAAGAAGAGTTCAGGAGACCAGGGAAAAGGGGAGGGGGTCATTCGTTTCTTTTCTCCTCCCAAGTCCCAAGTGTTACGAGATGTCTGGTCAGTTCCTTGGAAGCCAGGTAGGGCCCGGCTCAATACAACACTTTGAGTGTCCCACGTCAGCGTTCCTTCCCCCTTGGAGCCTCCAAACTTTTTGGAACTGCAACTGTCAAAAGTCACCATCTTTGATCATTCTGGCTGGAAAATTCTGCGAGCTGCAGTCTCAAGCTTTTGAGAACAGGCACCAAGTTCAGGAAAGGGACTGAGAAAGACCAGGACTGATCCAAGCTTTTGATGTTTTTCGGTAACCTGCTTGGAGACTTTTCTAATCAAAAGGCAATGCAGGTTCTTCCTTTCTTCCTGTCAACCCCTTGCTATTAGTTGGATGGCATTGTAAGCTGTCCAGGGGTTTTTCCCTCTCCAGGTACCATTAATAGGTGATTTTTTTTAAAAGGGGTAAATCTCAACTATATTTTGCTCTTGGGCTGCTCTGATTGAAGGCGGGGAGATCTCTAAAAACAAGCCACAACTCACCCTGGGCAGAAGGTCCCACTGTTCCTTGTTCTTCATCTCCTCCTGCACTTCATGGATGCGTTTTAGGGACTCTAAACTCTCATCCAGCAAGAATGTCGTGTCATTGATCAGCATATTGATATAGCGAACAAACTGCTTGCCGGAGCTGAAAAAAAGAGACGGACAGAATTCAGTGGGTTTCTTGGCTCTAAGAGATGACGATGCCAGGCAGATAAATCTGAGAAACGTGGCCTCCAATCCTTGCTCAGGAGTTTGAACTTTCCTGGCATCCATTTTTTCCTTCTGCAAAATAAGAATCAGGAAGCCACCCTGTAAGACGGGTGTTGGGAAAATGCTTAGGGTGACCAAAAAAACACCTCGGTGCCGTGCCATAGCTATACAGCAATCCGGAATGATCAACCGTTGTACTGATTTTTCTACTGCAGCGATTTAAAAATGATTGCCGCTTCCTGGAGAGATATCTGGCCTAGGAGCGCAGGGCCAGTCCCAGTGGCCTGCCCACTTTGGGAACAAGCTTCCACAGTGCTACACTCACTTAAACTCTTCCATGAAGGTGCCGTGGTGGGCTATATTCTGCCACAGGCTTTTGAAGATGGTGCTGATGTGGTAACGGATTGTAAATTTGTCGTAGAATTCGCTGGTGGCCCCAGTGTGCTCAACGTCTGAGAAAAAACGGGAGACAAAGAGTTGTAGCCTCCATGCATCCAGAGAACGCCAAACGCAGGTTAAGCGAGAGCAGCCACGTTCACACAACGCACTAAGCCAAGGTGGGGCTGGGGAGTTTGTGGTTCAGCAACTTGTAGGAATCCATCTGAACTGGTTAGAGCAGTGTTTCTCAACCTTGGCAACTTTAAGATACGCGGACTTCAACTCCCAGAATTCTCCAACCAACCATGCCGGCTGGGGAATTCTGGGAGTTGAAGTCCGCATATCTTAAAGTGGCCAAGGTTGAGAAACACTGGGTTAGAGGAACAGGCCGTACTGTTATGCCACGATACGGCTTCGTTGCCCGAGCTAAACGCTTTGTTCACATCCAGCCGAGGTGTGTTACCAACCTGTATAAAACTTCATCAGTGAGGGAACAAGCAGCTTAATGGAGAGCGGATGGTTCTCAATCATCTCAAAGAACTTCTGAGTCCGCGGCTGGACGGCTGGGTTCGTCATGAACATCACCTCCACCAGCTTGGCCACCAAGTAAGGGTTCCGGATGTAGTCCTGGTTGCAGAGCATCACGACGAGGAATGTCACGAGCTCCTGAGTGCAAGGCTCATAGAGTACCTGAGGCGAGTATCTGAAAATGGGGAGAGCGAAGATGGAAGGAAGCAACAGCCGAGGAAGACTTTACAAATGAGGACTGTGGAATCTAACCCAAAGTCCATCCTAGCCTTTTTTTTCAAAGGAACCGGCCAGAAGCCTTGGAGAGACCTCTTGGCTGGCTTGAAATTCTCTCCTATTTGGGCCCCCCAAAGGCAGGAAGAGGGAGGAATAAATACATCCTTTTTAGAGGCAACATGGAGAAACAGGCAGCCCATATTCGCCAAACTGCTAAGGGAGTGGCGGATTAGAGAGATCAAGTCAGGAGATAGCAGACGCTTCACTTTTAGGACCAAACCATCGTCATTCCCCTTTGAAAGGCTGCACCAGGAGGTCTCTATCCGCAAGAAGTTTTTACTTACTGTACAATAAAAAACAAAAATTCCGCAATATCTTCCACGTAAAACTCAGGCATCGCTGCAAAGACTTTCGGGACATCTGGGTTTAAAGGCAGTTTTATGCTGTAAATGGGAGAGGGGGAAAGAGATCCTTTCAGGAAAAGTCTTCTCCAATTTTGCACATGTGCACTTAATACAAAATAATACACCTAGGGAGAAGTTACACAGATATAACAAGGTGGAACAAAAGACATAATATTGTGCTATGTGTTAACATGTGTGTTACCTAGCAAGCGACAGTGCAGACAGGAAAAATAACCCCTAAAGATAAAACCAAAGTTGGGGGGGGTTATAGCCACACATTTATAAACACAACCCACCCATTTTAATGTACGTAGAACTGAAGTACAGCTGATACCACGATAAATTCCATTCTATCCAGTAACAGCTACAAGGACAGTCTTCCAGTTTCCTGCACGCATCACGACTTAAAAAGCATGGGTGTAAATCTTTCTATGGATCTGTGATGCAGTTCCACAGAGGCCAATGGTCCATCTAATACACTCGGGCCTAAATCTTTCCCAGGGCCAGTCCTTCAACCATTTCAACTACAGATACCAAGGTCCCTCACTCGCAGAATGTGGGACTGTGGTCCTGAATGCTTCTGTGGAGTGGCTTCCTGTCCATAGCCATGGTTTCATGCGATATTTTTCCTACACTATGTTCAGTGGCTAAGACCTCCTCTGTGTGCCAAATGCGTCATTCATTACTTCAGGATGGCCCTCTAAAAATATTACGATTACCTCTCATGCCTTTTGCCCTTGCTGTTTGTCTTTTCACCGAAGATAAATTCCTTGTCTATATTTTATACTTAGCTATTAAAGTATTCTGTATTTTAGTGCAGATTTTAGATTTGCGCACACAGATGTGCCATAAAATGTGAGGCACCTGGCAGCAAGGAATTTAGTCAACTGGGCTTTTAGGCCCTAGAGCAGCCCAGCCCGAGATGGGGAAACTGTTGCACACAACTCACTCAGGATAGGCCGGATCAAGAATCCGAAGCAAGAGTTGGATCACCACGCTGTAGAAGTTCAGGCACCTCCGGAGAAAATTCTCATCTAACAGGCCGGCATCTGCACAAGCTTTGCACCGCACCAATCTCTGGGCAGGACATGGCGAGAGCAAAATGATGCGACACAACATACAGGCCGTGAAAAGTCGTCACCGCCCTCCACAGACCGGGCCCACAAACGCATCAGGGGAGCCACAAACCTTCAGTTGGGTTTTGCACCGCTTCAGCATCTCTCGATGCCTCGTAGCTAGAGGGGAATCTTTCCACTGACTTTCGTTATTCTTCAAATCCTCCACGGTCCTGTAAAAACCAGAACGTTTGGGTTGGGGGAAGATTTAAGCAATCAGGACAAAAAGGTAAGGGCTCAAATGATCAAAGAGGAAGAGCGTCCCAAGCCAGACGGTCAGGAAAACCTACGAGGAATGATGAAAAAAACGGTGCCGTTTCAGTCGAAAGGCATTTGTGCCAACTTTGGATGGTCAACTATTTGTTGACATGGATTTCTAAGCCCCTCATCTAGGCAGCTTAACCCACAAAACCAGCCGGCGTAAAATAAAGCCATTAAAACCACGCGCCATAATAAAAGCAAAAGCATTGTTTTAACGGCTTTATTTTACACAATTCCCTCTCCGAACATTTGCAGACTGTTACGGTGCACCTCTTGGCCTCAAGGCTCCCGAAAGCCTCCCTGCATGAGAACAGGGAAAAGACCATCCCAGCCGGGGGGGGGGCAAGGCCATTCTAGAGGGAGGGGGTGCTACAGTCACAGGGCGCACCGCAGATTCTGCTAAAACAGCTTCCGAAAACCCTGCCCGCCGGGTCAGATGTTAAACTAGGGAGTTCCCTCTCCAGCTTTTGACTTCTCAATGAAGTCTGCGAAGACTGGCAGGCAGTGCTTTAAAGGGATTTGAGCAGTTTCCGCCCAGCAGAATTTTAATACAGCCGGGGTGAAGTGTATGTTCAAGGAAAAAAGGCCTCTTTAGAACAATTCCAGGGCCCTGCAGAAGAAGGAGCTGTCTGCTGTGCAGAAGAAAGCAGGGACCCTATAGACTGATCCAACCCATCGATTGGCTTCTTCTCTTGCCTTCTCGGAGTTGCTGGCCCCAGTCCCACTCCTTCTCTGCTGTCTACCCCTGCCCCCATGTTCCTCTGCCAGGCTAATGCTCTGACAATGCTGTCCATGCAGTGCTCTGGCCGAGTTCTGCCAGCTATTACTCAACCCAGCTTTAACCTCCCTGAACAATGAAGCTATTGGCAAGCTCTGAGGCAGCTTTTTGAGAAGGCCAGCCTGGCTTCCCACACAGAGAATACCGACGGCGCATGAACTCACAGAGAAAAGACCGCCTTCGCTGCCTCCCACAGCCATCTGGAGTCGCCAGGTGCCAAGTTCATCTGGGCACACCATGTTCCCACCACACATCAACACTGCCCAGAGCTCTGCAAATGCAAATCTCCCAGGGCCCAAGAGGCAAAAAGACTGGCACGCAGTTACCCATCGCACGAAGCTCCCTTACGCATACAAAGCAGACCTTCACTTCCTCCTCTGTTCTCCCTACATAAATAACCCAGGTTTCCCTAGAGTATCTGCCCTCGGCACCTCAGCTTTCTTTTTCTTGCCAAATTCTTGCTTTGGAAGTAAACCAACCCCCCCCAAAAACCCAGGCCCACTAACAATGCAGTTTGCTTTTTAACCTGTTCAGCTCCCGGATGGCTCTGAGTCGACGGATGTATCGACGGCAACTTGGTAAAATGGAGAGGTGGTGGGCATGGAGGGTCAGGAAGAAACATTCCGTTGGGAATTTTGGCTCAGAAAAGACAGACTGATCTCTGGCTGTGGAAAGGAGGATAAACAAAAGTAAACGAAAAACCCCAAACGAGGGAGAAAGTCAGGATCGCTCAATATCTAAACTTTCTCAACTGAAGGTCAGTAACATGTCTGCAAGAGGATTTAAACAGAGGATCTCATCTGTCACCCGAATCTGCTGCCAAATCCTTCAGGATCCAAAGACAGATGACAAAAATTGCAGGCACAAATAATTCATAGAAACTGTATAGATAAACCTCCTCGAGGAAAACCATATCGGGGACGGGGGCTCTCCCGAGGCATAAAAAAATGCAGAGACTGCCCTTGACAGAACTTTTCCTGTTCTATCTAGCACAAGATTTTTATTTTGTAAGCTATCAGGAGCCTCTGGAAGTGGGCAGGACAAAAATATTATTGAAGATATTAAATATATACTCCGATGGGGGCGGGGAACCACGCACGTGGAAATATTCTCATAAAAAGAACAAGCCATACCCAAACAAGTTACCCAGCTCACTGTGGAAATGAAAAAACTGGCAAGAGAACCACAATACGCTCCGTTTTCATTTTCCTTTTAAATCAGATGTCACAAATGTTCACACAGAGACACACTTTGTGAGATCTCAAATGCAAAAGGGAGGGTTGAAGAGGATCACCTAAAGGTTTTCTATCTCTCTCTGCCCACCCAAAAGAACACCTAAAATACATTTAAGCAGAAGAAAAATTAACATTTGCCAAAGTACAGAAGTAACTGGATGCAGATTCCAGAAAAGGTCTTGATCCAAACACCATTGCTGAAAACCTGGATTTATTTTAGTACGTGTCCCTGAACAAACACGAGGCAGAACGTCAACTCACACAGCTCCGCCATCCAGCTGCTGACATCCTCCAAGGTGGCTTTCACTCGCGTTTCGTCCGCCGGCACCATGATCCGACACCGGGGGTGGAAAATGTAGGAAGGATCGACCGTCTCGAGTTTGATTTTTGTGCTCAGCTGCTGCAGCACCCACAGAAAGTTAAGCATAAAGCCATCCGTAGATACCAGCCGATCGTCTGTCTGCGTGCCCAAAGGAGAGAACTCAAAGTAAGAAGCGAGCTTGGGCCTAGAGTTGACCTCAAGGACTTTTTAGGTGGATATCAGAAGCCCAACTAAGGGATTTCCTATCTGAAAACTAGACAAGCGGCCTCATATCTTTGAAGTATCCTTCACGCTATTTTCCCCAGGTAATGAAACAGCTATACAGGGCGCTTCCAGCTTGCAATCTTCCCTCTGCCGGTTTGGTGGGCTTACTGGTAATTATGGGAGGCAGGAAGGAGTAACAGAAGAGTTACTCACCTGCATTTGTGCCTTTTTGATGTTGGCGTTGACCACCGCTGCCATGTAGCTGAGAGCGGCTTCCCGAGTTTCTCCGTTGAGCAGAATACTGTGCAGGATCTTGAATAACTCTTGCTAAAGATTGACCGAGCAGAAAAAGACAGAAAGGAACTGATGGTGTGGCTTAGGACACCTTTAAGCAACCTGCCAGACGTCACAAATACCAAGAATCGCAGCTTGTGGCCTACGTTCCCTTCACGTAGTCTGGGGTGCCTCTTTTAATAATGGTATGAATTTACACACCTTAAACAAAGCAGCAAAATCTTTCCTTGCCTCACAAGATAGGGAGGG